CTACCAAAGCTCCTATAGTAGACCATATGATTGTTTAATTCAAAATGGTCAGTACTAGTCCATTTTAGCTCGATAATGCCTAGGATATTGATCTTTATGCATTCCATATAATTTTTGACAACTTCCAAATTTCCTGGATTCATCATAGAATTATGAGGTTGGCAAAGAATATTGAATATATCATGGACTGCCAGAGAATGAATATATCTGTCTTAAAATAGTCCTTAAAACCAAAGATGGTGAGACATCATCTTATGTACTTTGGACATGTTATTAGGAGGGACCAGTCCCTGGAGGAGGATGTCATGCTTGGTAAAGTAGAGGGTCAGTGAAAAAGAGGAAGATCCTCAACCAGATGGAATGACACATTGGCTGCAACAGTGGGCTCAAACATACCAACAATTTTGAGGATGGTGGAGGACTAGCCAGTCTTTTGTCCTGTTGTAAATAAGGTCACGATGAGGCAAAACTGACTCAACAGCACCTAACAACCACAGTATATATCCTCAAGCTAAAGACAGAAAGAGTTATAAATAATTATTTAACTCTAGTTAGTGGGTTTATTTTCACAGTAGTATGAGTAAGCAATTCTGAATCTATTTGTGTCTGTGTGTGTGTGTGTGTGTGCATGTATTCTAGCATTGAACAAATAAGTAAAATTATACTGGATAATCAAAGCAGGTTTCTTCCTCATTGTCACAGAGAGGAGTTAGACTATGTGAAAGAAAGACTAGAGAGGGGAAGCCCAGACAGTGGTCAGGCAAACAGTAATTTAAAAAAAGAGCAGGAGTGGCAATATTAATCTCTGATAAAATAGACTTTAAAACAAAAATCCACCACAAAAGATAAGGAAGGGCATTATGTAATGATTAAAGTGTCAATTCACCAAGAATACATAACCATAATGTATAAATGCACCCAATGATGGAGCTCCAAAATACATAAAACTAATTCTAACAACATTTAAAAGAGAAAGGCACAGTTCTACAATAATAATAGGAAACTTTAACACACCTGTATTGTGAAGGACTAGAAAGAAAGTCAACAAGATACAGAATATCTAAATGCCACAATCAACCAACTTCACCTCATAGGCTTATACAGAACACTCCACCAAACAGCCACAAAGTATACATTGTTTTCCAACACACATGAATAGTTCTTTAGAATAGATCATATTTTCAGCCACAAAGTAAGCCTCAACAAATTTTAAAACATCTTCTCTGATCATAGTGCTATTCAACTAGAAATAATAACAGGAAGAACAAGGCAAAAAAAAAAATCAAACACATAGAAACTGAATAACACCTTGCTTAAAAACCACTAGATTATAGATAAAATTAAAAGTGAAATTAAAAAAAAATTCCCAGAATCAATTGAGAATGAAAGCACAACATACCAAACCTTTGAGACACAGGAAAAGCAGTACCCAGAAGTCAATTTTTTGCAGTAAACACACAAAATCAATTCCTTATCACCATAACTTGAACAAATAGAAACAGCAACAAAAGAAGCCCACAGTCACCAGAAGAAAAGAAATAACAGAGATTAGAACAAAAATAAGTGAATCAGAAAACAGTAAAACAATAAAAGGAATCATCAACACTAGAAGTTGGTTCTTTGAAAAGATCTATAAAATTGACAAACCACTGGTCAAACTGACAAAAGAAAAGGAGAACATTCAATAAACCCAAATAAAAAATGACATGGGAGACATTGGAACAGAACCAACTGAAGTAAAAATGGTCATAACAGAACATTATGAAAAATTATATGCCAACAAATTTGAAAACCTAGAAGAAATGACCAATTTCTGGAAACACACTACCTACCAAAACTAACATAAACTGAGGTGGAAAATTTGAACAGACCCATAATAATAGAAAAAATCGAAGAGGCCATTAAAATAATAATAATGATAACAAGACACTCCCAACAAAAAACAAAGCCCTGGCCCAGATAGCTTCAGCAGAGAATTCTACCAAGTATTCAGAGAAGAGTTCACACCACTACTACTCAAACTATTTGAGAACATGGAAAAGGAATGAATACAAGTTCTGGTAGCATAGTGCCTAAGGCACTTGACTATTAACCAGAAGGCTGGCGGTTCAAACCCACCAGCCACTCCTCGGAAGGAACATGGGACAATCTACTTCTGTAGTGATACTGCCTCAGAAACCCAAGGAGGGGTCCCTATGAGTCGGGTCTGACTTGACGGCACATAATAACAACAACAACAAGCCAGAATAACCCTCGTACAAAAGCCAGGCAAAAATATCAATAGAAAAAGAATTATAGACCAATATCCCTCATGAATATAAATGCAAACCTACTCGACAGAATTCTACCCAATAGAATTCAACAGCATATAAAAAATAATACACCATGACCAACTATGATTCATACCAGGTAGGCAAGAATGGTTCAACATAAGAAAATCAATCCATATAATCCACCACAGAATTAAAACAAAGGATGAGAACCAAGTAAAAGATCATCTCAATGGATGTAGAAAGGCATTTGACAAAGTATAACACCCATTCGTGATAAAAACTGTCAGCAAAATAGTAACAGATGGGAAATTCCTAAGCATAATTAAGGGCCTATATATAAAACCTGCGAGGAAGCAAAAGCAGGGATCAAGGTAAGGCCAGGAACCTAGGCCATAGCCTCCCAAGCAGCAGGAAAGGAGAGAAAAAGCCAGGGGGAGTGGACCAGACAGAGTGAGGAAGCAGAGGCAGGGATCTAGGTAAGGCCAGGGTCCCGGGCCATGCCCCTCCCGAGTGGTGAGAAAGCAGAGAAAAAGCTAGGGGTGGGAGGAGACCAGGATAGAGAGAGGAAGCAGAGGCAGGGATCCAGGTAAGGCTGCGGACCTAGGCCACGCCCCTCCCAAATGGCGGCAAAGAGTCAGGGATCTATGTAAGGGGAGGGTGGGGAGGGTGGAGAGGTTTTGAACAGCTTAGGGAGACAAACTTGTCTATTGGTTTGTCCTATTGTGGTGGCATGTTGCTGTGAGGCTTGAGGCTGTGCCACTGGTATATCTCAAACCCAGCAGGGTTGCACATGGTGTACAGGTTTCAACAGCTTACAGACTGAGAAAGACTAGGAAGAAGGAGGAGGCCATCTACTTCTCAAAGAATTGGCCAGGGAAAACCTTATGAATAGCAGGGAAACACTGTCTGATACATTACTGTGCAACTTTATGAATAGCCTGGAAACATTGTCTGATACAGTGCAGGATGATAAGCCATTTAGGTCAGAAGGCTCTCAAAATAGGACTAAGAAAGAGCTGCATCATCAGAGTAGAACCAGCCTTAATGATATGGATAAGGTAAAGCTTTCAAGACCTGCATTTGCTGATGTGGTATGACTCCAATTGAGGAGATACAGCTGCAAACATCCATAAATAATCAGAAATGGAATGTACAAAGCATGAATCTAGGAAAAATGGAAGTTGTCAAAAGTGATGGAGTGCATAAAAATTGATATCCTAGGCATTAGTGAGCTGAAATGGACTGGTTTGGGCCATTTTGAATCAGACCATCACATGGTCTACTATGCTGGGAATGATGATTTGAAGAGGAATGGTGTAGTGTTCATCATCAAAAAGGATGTTTCAAGATCTGTCCTGAAGTACAATGCTGTCAGTGATAGGATAATATCCATACGCCTACAAGGAAGACCAGTTAATA